GAACTGAGAATCTTCATATATTTATCTGACAGAAATGTTCTTTTCAATTAGCCAAAGTTCATTTGAGATGTCACAGCTAGAGAAATCAAAGATATTTCATTTTATAAAACCATGAATATTTATTTTGGTAACACTGGATTTTTAAAAAAAAAGACAGCCACTAATTCCAGATTTATTTTATTATTTTTGTTCTGTTTAATGTAACCATTCACACAACCAAAGAATTTTGATAACTGGTGCCTTTGAAAATTTGTGACCCTTGGTTTGTAAGCTATTTGATTCAGTTTCTATTAAACTGAGAATTCCTTGAGGTTTCGTGTAGTGATGTGATGATTTTCTGTGAGCACTGATACAGATGATATTACAAAGTTCACAAACTCTGGTACAAGACAGGGGGTCAAAGCGGATACATGAGGAGTCTTAATGAAGTGAGGATTATTGAGAGGAGGTAGAGAACGCCTGTTAAAATAGTAACATAGAAAAATCTGTATGATCAAATGCACAGGTTTAAAATCACCACCACTGTACAGGAACTTATGAACTGTACATCATCTGTGGGTCTCAGAGAGAAGTGTAAATCCGATTGCATTAACTCATAAGGATCTTACATTATACACAAAGATTTTCTTGCACCCATATGACCTCTTGTACTCAAAGACAATGGGGGCCTGACCCTTGAGGCATACACTGTACGCCACATGGTAGCTATGGTGTCTTTCCCATTCTGGGCAAGTAAATCATCACTCTTCTCTCTGATTGCTCATTGAAGCCTTCCAAATGCAATTCACCAAATATAAAAATTAAATGCTAGTAAGGTGCAATTAGAACTCAAATCTCTTTATTGTGAGCAATTCATATTTGATCTAGTATTCAAATATAATTTGTTTTACAGTGTCAATTTTTATGAAGGGTTCACTTGTTCCAAGCCAGCCATTAAAGAGTCCATAATACAGGCAGTCCCCGGGTTACATGGATCCGACTTACATCGGATCCCTACTTACAAATGGGGTGAGGCAACCCCGCACTAGCTGCTTCCCCCCAGCAGACCAGGGAGACGCGGAGCGGCTTTTCTCAGCAGACACCTCAGCTTGAGAATAAAGGACTGAGGGAAGTGAGGTGTGGGAGAATAAAACTGAGCTCTGGAGAAATGTTTGGCTAGAGTTTCCCCTACAATATGTACCAGTTCCGACTTACATACAAATTCAACTTAAGAACAAACCTACAGTCCCTATCTTGTACGTAACCTGGGGACTGCCTGTATATCTCCTGTATTAAATAAACAAATCTAAATAAAACCACCTACATTAGTTTGCAAGCATTATGTGATAGAGACCTTGTTCTTATAATCATCATATTAACACCATCGTGTGATGTTAATAAAAATAAACTACTATCTAAATCAATTTTCACACATAAAAGCTGTCTAAAACAACAGTAACAAAATCCAAAACAAAAACTTAATTAAAATAGAGTTATAGCTGCCAACAGACTAAATGTTTACAACATTATTAAACACTAGGTACTTAAAACAGGAGGGCTACCTTATAAGAAACTCGTAAATTATGGGTTTAGTAAATCCAGGTCCAAAACATGTTTGTATCGTCAACCAAAGCTCTTCAGCAAGAAGGAATGTAAAATCCCATTTAATTGATTAATAACGTATAACTGGTTAAATACATTAAATGGAAAAGCAGGTGGGCTGAAGCAGTCCACCCCTGCTGAAGTGCAGGAACAGCCCCTGCCTTTATCCCTCCCACTACGGACAGGGGCTGCTCTGGACAGCAAGAGTGGCTCCTGCCTGCAGCACACCCAAGTCCGCTGCAGACAAGGTCTGCTCTGGTTGGGCTGGAGCGCCCCTGTCTGTGGCATGCCCTTGAGGACTGGAGCAGCACCGTGCCCACAGCTGATGGGATGCTATTCCAGTCCCCACCAGTTAAGTGCAACTGGTAAGCATTTATTAAGGTTAACTTTATACATCCCTAACGGCAAGTACGCATCCCATCAAAGTTAACTTTACACATCTAAAGACATAGATCTGAAATCAGCCATACCTTGACCAGACATGTTCCTTCTCTCCTGTTTTGACTCCTATTAAAATATTCTATATAGCTTATAACTCCCTCTCTTTCCCATAAGGTTCACTTGTAAGCCTTATTCTCCCTACATTCTTCCTTCCTGCCATACCTTTCACCTTAACACCCGCTTTTATCGTAAAGGTATTCAACAGATACCCAACCTTTACCTAACACCTTTAATGAGTCCTCCACTTTTCACCTATGTTTAACTAGTTAATTTAGTATCAGGATTGTTCACCTAAATAGCTTAAAAATAAATTGCCTCTCCTGAGCAAAAGAAACAACCACCATCTAATTCCATCTTTCTTTTCTTCCCAGTTACAGCCTTCACCATTTATATTCCTGTGATCCTTGACCATGAAATTTCTTCTGTATTTCTTGTTAGGTTTAATGCACACTATTAATTTAAAAAAGTAATTGCTGTTAAAAATTAATCATTATTAATCTGTTTAACAGTGCTGTTAAAACTATAAATACTAACTGAATTTTATTAACTATTTTGGATTTTTTTCACATTTTCGTATGTGGTGTATTCCACCTTGTAATTTAAATCAGTGTATATTATTTTATTACAAATATTTGCACTGTAAAAATGATAAAAATAGTATTTCAATTCAACTTATATAAACATCAGAGTGAAATCTCTTTGTTTTGAAAGTACAACTTACAAATGCATTTTGTTAGAAAACTGCACTGAAAAACAAAACATAAAACTAATGAGCCTACAAGTTCTCTCAGTACTACATCTTGTGCAGCCAAACAAACAAGTTTATTTACCTTTACAGGAGATAACACGAGAAAATGAGAACAGGCATTTGTCTAGCACATTTGTAGCTGGCATTACAAGGTATTTACGTGTCAGATATACTAAACAATTGTATGTCCCTTCATGCTTCAGCCACCATTCTAGAGGATATTCATCTATGCCTATAATGCTCATTAAAATGTACACGCTAATTAAATTTATGACTGAATTCCTTGGGGGAGAATATTATGTCCTCTACATTCTACTATACATTTGCGAGAGAGTTTCTGTTTATTTAAGAACTACTCCTAAACAGTAAGACAGTCAGACACACACCCAGTTTCCTGCCCAGAGTCCATAAAAATGACCATAATGGATCAGACCAAAAATCCATCTACTCCAGTATCTTGTCTTTTGACACTCACCAATGTCAGGTAATGAACTGAACAGCTAATCAGTAAATGATCCATCCTCTGTTGCTCAGTCCCAGCCCTGACAAACAGAGGTTACAGACACCACCCCTTCCAGCCAGGCTAACAGAGATTCATGGACCTATTATCCATTAACTTATCTAGTTCTTTTTTTGTATCCTGTTGAAGTCTGGGCCTTCACGATATTCTCTGGCAGGGAGTGCAGCATATTGATGGTGTGTTGTGTGAGGTAGTACTTCCTTTTGGTTTCTTTTAAACCTGCTGCCTATTAATTTCATTTGGTGATTGCTAGTTCTTGTGTTAATGAAGAGAGTAAATAACTCTTCTTTATTCACTTTCTCCATACCACAACTTATAGGCCATGTGTTCTGTTTTACCCACATTCTTCCATATTTGATGTTATAGGAGTCTCTGATGATGACCCAGAATACATTTGTTTTAAAAGAAGGTACCAATGTGCGATTTCTAAAGATAGCTACAGCACTCAACCTAAGGTTTAAGAATCTTCCAAAATCTGAGGGGGACAAGGAGCTGAGTATTCTTTCAGAAATTGTAAAAGAGCAACACTTGGACATCGAAACTACAGAATCCAAACCACCAAAAAGAAAATCAAACTGCTAGTGCTATATGACTCAGATAATTAAAATGAACATGTGTTGGTCTGCACTGTTTTGAATTGTTATCAAACAGACTGTCATCAGCATAGATGCATGTCCTCTGAAATGGTCGCTGAAGCATGAAGGAACATATGAATCTTTAGCACGTCTACCATGTAAATATCTTGTGATGGGGACTATACTTGTGCCATGAGAACATCTGTTCTCACTTTCAGGTGACATTGTAAACAAGCAGCATTATCTCCTGCAAATGTAAACAAACTTGTTGTCTGAGTGACTCCGAACAAGAAGTTGTACTGGGAGAACTTGTACGCTCTTAATTTTTACAAGGTTTTGATTCTGAGTGAAGTTATTTTGTGTACATAATTCTACATTTTTAAGTTCAACTTTCTCTATAAAGATATTTAATACAGTATTTGTAGTAGGTGAATTGAAAAATACCATTTCTTTTGTGTTTGCACAATGCAAATACTTGTATTCAAAATAAATATAAGTGAGAACTGTACCATTTTTATTCTGTGTTGTAACTGAAATCAATACATTTGAAAAATATAGAAAATTTTCAAAATATTTAAATGGTATTCTATAATTAACAGGGTAGTGTGATTGCCCGATTATTCTTTGAATCACTTGACAGCCCTATTTCTTATGTGGAATGCTGATCGTGTGATACTTAACAACATAAGAATGGCTATTCTAGGTCAGACCAAAGGTCCATCCAGCCCAGTACACTGTCTACCGACAGTGGCCAATGCTAGGTGTCTCAGACGAAGTGAATCAAACAGGTAGTGAGCAAGCCATCTCTCTCCTGCCATCCATCTCTACCCTTTGACGAACAGAGACTAGGGACACCATTCCTTACCCAAACTGGCTAATAGCCATTAATGGACTTAACCTCCATGAATTTATCTAGTTCTCTTTTAAACCCTGTTATAGTCCTAGCCTTCACAACCTCCACAGGCAAGGAGTTCCACAGACTGATTCTGCGCTATGTGAAGAAGAACTTCCTTTTATTTGTTTTAAACCTGCTGCCCATTAGTTTCATTTGGTGGGCCCTCGTTCTTATATTATGGGAACAAGTAAATAACTTTTCCTTATTCACTTTCTCCTCACCACTCATGATTTTATATACCTCTATCATATCTCCCTTTAGGTTTGCAGTGTTGTTGTAGCCATGATGATCCCAGGATATGAGTAACACATGGGTGAAGTAATATTTTTTTTTACTGGACCGACTTCTGTTGGAAGAAACAAGTTTATGAGCTTCACAATGCACTTCGGGTCTGCAGAGGGAAATAAAAGTGTTCAAACTAAACACAAATGGGACAGACTGTTATGCATATGGGTTCACACATGTTGTAGGACTTAAAAGCCAATGGACAACTAATACCTCTGCAGTCATGACAATGACTCACTAGGGAGCGGGAGTGTTACAAGCTGATCATAAAGCCAGAGTCTCTTTGAATTCTATCCTTTTTAGTGTCTAGCAGAGTTATAAATGTAAGTTCCCAGACTCACCTTTTTTAAAAACTTTTTTCCATGTGAGCAACTGAAATTCTCATAACCACACCTTTAACGCGGCTCATCTTTGCTATTTTAATTACCTTTTCAACAGTTGCTCCAAGTGGCATATCACCATACTTCAAGTCCGCCACAAAACAACTCCTGTACAGCCCATATCTGTGTATCCCCTCCAAATTCACCATACGCACATCTGTTCCAACGCACAGGTATCTTATCTTTGTGCAGGAGCACGCGCTCTACATCTCTTGCCAACTGAACAGCCTTCTAGGTCTCGATGCCTCATGGGCTTGTTTCAAATCATATGATACATTATTTCTCCCATCATCCTATAATTCCTCTTCTCTACTATTAAAATTGTATTTTGCAGTCATTTAATCCACACACGGATCAGGTATAGTTTGTACAGGACAGAATGCAAACATGTCTTACGTGTAGTGTTACAACTCTTATGGTACACTTTTCAAAATGTTAATTAAAAATACGGTATTTCCACCAGGAACCCAAACTTCTCCAAGTATTGCATGAATTATAAACTGAAGTGTTTTAATAGTTTCATGCACATGATCAACCTCTGTGATCCACAAGACTTAACATCAGCTTAAAATACAAGAGTAATCATTTAACATAAGGGCTCTCATCAACAGCTTAAAATTTAAGATAAACGGCTAGACCTTCAGCACAAGTGGTTATCTCTACTGCTAAAAGGTGTGTGCTCTCCTATAAAGCAAGTCTTAATTTGAGAAATTTAATCGGTGAGTTTAAAGCACTCTTTTTAGAGGACCATTTGATGTGTCAGTGTATTCGCCTAGTTTATACAGAGACCCTTCTGCTTTGCTCTCCCTATAAAAGTCAGTTACACTTTATAAACATAAACGGAGTCCTCCCCCTCCATTCATTTCTTCCTGTGAGGTCACGGCCCTGCTCTCACCTGTACCCCAGCCCTCCTTCCATTTCCCTCCCCCCGGCGGGGGCCAGGCAAAAGCCTGCAAAACACTCAGCGCTACAGGGGCTCTCCCTGTCTAAATCTCCTCTCCAGCCCCATCAACGCGCCACAGCAGCTCTGCCTGAGCGGCTCAAACACCCGGGGAAACCAACAGCGTCAGCGCCAGACCCCCCATTCAGAGCAACGCGCGCTCGCGAGGATACCCCCCCCGCTCATTCATTCCCTTTGCCCGCTCAGCCCCGTGAGCGGTTCCCCTCCCTGCTGCACCTGCCGGGCCGGGCAGGCCCCACCCCCAGGGCACGCCGCGCTGTCGCC